TCCTAATTCTGTCTATTAGCATATATCTTGTGGTTACGGGAGTCTGGTACACTTTTTCTTTCAGAAATCCCCACACAAAGAAATCTAATGGATTTAGGTCAGGGGATCGTGGAGGCCAGGCCACTGGTCCTCCACGGCCGATCCATCTTTCTGGATAATTTTCGTCCAGCCAGTTTCTAACTATTTTCGAATAATGAGCTGGACAACCATCAAGGTGGAACCATGCCAATCTTCTTAAATCTAACATTACACCAGCCCACATATTTGCATGTTCAGCCTTTAAAAATTCCAAGAAGGTCGCAGCACTTAACCTTGCAGGCAAAAGGTAAGGTCCAAATAGTCGATTACGGTAGTTACCAATCCACACGTTCACACTAAATTCATGCTGAAAATTTCTTTCCCGAACTGCATGCGGATTTTCATGCGCCCAAATATGTTGATTATGAAAATTTACCACTCCACGTCTAGTGAAGCATGACTCATCGGTCCATAAAACGTTACTTAAAAACTCCCTATTATTATCAGTTCTATCAAGAATCCACTGACAAAATGTGATTCTTCGTTCTCCGTCCCCTGGCTGTAGTCCCTGCACAGGTTGCAAATGGTAAGGACGTCTATGGTCATTTCTAAGAACAGGGTGAACTTGGCTTGCTGAAATTCCCAAGGCACCAGAAACTCTCCTAACACTTGTGATCGGATCTCTATCAAACTCACCCAGAATCATACGGGTAAATCTGCGCTGACGAACATTTATGTTTTGATCCCTTTGGAGATTTCCAATACCATTTTCAATTATTTGGCGATGCACTCTTACAAATACTGAGCGAGTTGGATGTCGTCTGTTTGGAAATCTTCGTGCGTATTCTCTGGCTGCTTCTGCTGCGTTTCCATTTACAAAGCCATACACAAAATGAATATCCGCTAACTCTTGATTGGAGAATAAAAATGGCATTTTTATAAAACTTACAAAAAAAACAGGTAAAAGAAACTAAATTTCGTGCATTCACAATTGCAAAAAAACGTTTCAGGTTTCAACAGACAACAAAACTAACTGTCAACTAATTGACGTTTAACCTTATTCTGCTTTCAATTTCAAAAATATTTGCAGGAACAGCCTACTTCTAAAAATTATCGAGATACTGACCTTTTAACGTTATTTTATCATAAATAATTAAAAATGCATCGAACCTTAAAAATCGAAATATCTCAAAAACGGCTAACTATAACGAAAATTCACAAGAGAGCTTTTTTATGTTGAAAAGTGCGAAGAATCAGTTTTTTTATTCAAAAAGCAAAAAATTGCACTAAGAAAAAATTTTCGGTCATTTTAATACACTACAGGTACAGTAGAGAGCGCCCTCTAGCGGAAGCCACGCATTTTTCGACCCATGTTTATAACGTATAGACTTTATGCATTAATTTTAAAAGTTCTATCGAATGTTAAAGTTATGCAACAATAGACTGAAACACCCTGTATAAAAGTTGCATAATAAAAGAAATAATAAAACATTAAGAATTTTAAAAAATAAGAATTTTATTACAAAGATTTTTTGATATTCTCGACCACTACCGTGTAAAATCTTAGAGTTTTTTGTTTTACCCGAATGTAGAACTTTTGTGCTGGATAGCAGTAGCAGCAGACTAGCTTCGCAACATTTAATCCAGAATCAAAAATAAAGACTGCTGTTAAACTGATAAAGGTATCAAATGTGGCGTCCTACAGGGAACCGTTTTAGGTTAGGTTTATCGTTTATCTAAATTTGGCAAACTTTTTGTGTTATTGTATGGTTTTCAGTATTTTAATAGGGCGCACACTTTCATTTGTCTGATTATTTTGTGCGAAAAATGGTCCATGTTTAGGAAATCAATGAACTAGTGGTTATAATACTAACATATGGGGAGTGCCAACAACAGGCAGCAGCAGCATGCAGGTTGTAAGCGGAAAGGTTTCGTTTAAGAACATCCAACTCCACGGATAATTGTAAATATATCTATATATGTATATACAGGGTGTTCCTTAATGATATGAGAATATTTAAGGGTGTGAATCAACATGAAAAAATAATGTTAGTTTGCTTTATAAACTATGGTCCAAAAACTTTTGGTTACAAAAACTCGGGGTGTTGAAGTTTTAGAAAAAAAATGGAAATTAATTAATATTTTCAGAACTCCTTCAGATATTTCACTGATATTTAGTATGTAGCGAAAGTTAATAAAGCTGCATATTTTTCAATGCAAAAATAATTTTTAGCTTTAACAGTGGCGTGCGTACGGGTATTAACTTCAATATTTTGTTATTGTAGTGGTTTTCTGCCAAATAAGCATTATTTTTGAATCCGTCGTTCAATTTGAAACAAATGATCTCTCTTGAATTATTTTTCTTCGATGCGCCATTTTTGAGTAAAAAAATAAAAACCGTTCTATTGTCCGAGAAAATTAATTCAATAATTGAAGAATGCAATTTAGCAATAAATATCTAGTTGCTCTGGAATATGTCACTGGCTTTTGACATTTGACAAGTCTCTGTTATTCAAATCTGTTCGCTGTGACATCTTTTTCATTATTTAGTTTTTACAATCTTGTTAATAATGGTGAATTATTCAAATGCAGAAATGGCAGAAATATGGCCTTGCCGACGGTAATGGTGAGTAAGGCAGACGGATTTATCACCAGAGATATCCCGAGCGTGCTTTGCCAGATAGCCGAACCTTTTCTAATATTCATCGTCGTCTTGTTGAAACTGGTTCTGTACGAAAAGGAACATCTGAAGGTAGACCTCTAAGTGTGAGAACACCTGAAATTGATGAAGCAATGCTGCACAAAGTCGAAGAACAGCCTGAACCGAGTACGAGGAAGATCGCTAGACACTTAATCAAATTGTTTGGAGAATTTTAGTGAATTTTTTTTATATCCTTACCATAGTACAGGAACTACTTCCCATTGATTTTCCAAGGCGTATGACCTTTTGTCAGTGATATCTTCAAAAAATTACACAAAATCAGCAATTTGAATCAATGATTCTGTTCACGGACGAAGCTAATTTTTCTCGAAATGCCATTCAGAATTTCCACAATAATCATTTGTGGGCAGAAGAAAATCCCTATGCCGTAATCGAAACCCATTTCCAACACCAATTTTCGGTTAACGTATGGGCCGCAATTATTGGCAACCACTTTATTGGCCCATTCTTGTTGCCGGGACGACTTGACGGACAGACTTATTCAATTTTCTTCAACAACAGTTACCTTTGCTGCTTGAAGATGTTCCTGTAGTAATAAGAAACAATATGTGGTACATGCATGATGGTGCACCAGCTCATTTCAGTGTAACGGTTCGTAATTATTTACAAACTGTTTATCCAAATCGTTGGATTGGCCGCGGTAGGCTCCAAGAATGGCCCCAGACCTCAACAGTTTAGATTTCTTTTTGTGGGGATATCTTAAGACACTAGTGTACACAAGTCCCATTAACACTGTAGAGGAATTAAGAGAAAGAATAGTTGCAGCTTGTGATAGAATAAAAAACACTCCAGGGATATTTCAATGAGTGCGCAATTCCATGAGAAGGAGGGCGGAAGCATGCATACTAAGTGAATGGGGCCATTTTCAACAATTTTTGTAATCATTTCGTTGGTTTTAATGTTATGTTTATGTTGTCAGTTGTTGTGGGTCATTACCCCTAATGTGTTTAATTTTTCCAATTAAATTAATAATAATTTTGCAAGGTAGACAATAGAACGGTTTTTATTTTTTTACTCAAAAATGGCGCATCGACGGAAAACAATTCAAGAGAGATCATTTGTTTTAAATTGAACGGGGAAATCAAAAATAATTTTTATTTCGCAAAAAACTCTTGGCGTACTAATTTTTTCTTAAAAAATACGCACGCCACTGTTAATGCTAAAAATTATTTTTGCGTTGAAAAATATGCAAATTTATTAACTTTCACTACGTACTAAATATCAGTGAAATATCTGAAGCGGTTCTGAAAATATGAATTAATTTCCATTTTCGGACCATAGTTTAGAAAGCAAACTAACATTAATTTTTCATGTAGATTTACACTCTTAAATATTCGCATATCATTCAGGAACACCCTGTATAAATAATATAGTTATTAGACTTCGTGACAGGATATTTAAAAGAAGACCTGCTCAACCTGAAATATTACAAATTGTGGAAAACATTTTAGAAATGGTCAAAGACTAGGCCAAATTTACACGAAATGGAGTACTCAATTTCCACAACAATCATGTTTGGGCAGTAGAAAATCCGCAAGCTGTAAAAGGAACTTTTCAACCTAGATTTTCATTAAATTTTTTTGCTGGCGGGGTAAATGACATGCTTATTGGACCCTACTGTTTTCCACCTCAACTGACCGGTGAAATTCTTCGACACAATCTGCCACAATTATTAGAAGATGTTCCTCTAAATGTGATACAGAAAATGTAGTTCCTACATGATGGGGCTCCACCACATTTTAGACCAGAAGTTCATGAACATCTAAATAATGAGTTTCCGAATAGATGGATAGGGCGCAATACACCCATTTTTTAGCCTGGTTGCGTTCCCGGATTTAACGCCTTGCAATGTTTTGTGTGGGGCTGTTTGAAAGAGTTGGTGTATCATGATGGAGCAGTAAATATTTCAACAGTGCACTGATAATGCTTGTGATTTAATTCGTGGACACCAGGATTGTATTTTCGAAGCTTGTAGAGTCGTTGATTCGCCGAGCAAGATTTTGTGTTAATCCAACAATTAGGGACAATTTTGAACAGTTTTTGTAAAAACGGTATCCAATTAACTTGATAATGTTGCTGTTAAAATAAATGACTCAACTATGAAAACACCTTGTACATTCGTTTCATAAATAACTGGGATGACGGCAACAAGCCACTGTTAGTATCAAACGCTAAACTTGTACTTGTATGTAATGTTGCGTGTAACAATGCATGCTCTACGAGTACGTAACTTATTAATATCTGATGTATAAATACTTACTTTATAAGCATACTTTCGATGCAGCTTGCCCTGATTCTTGTACAGTTCCATCAATTCCTTCATGAATTTGAGTGTAACTTTCCCATCTTCAAGCTCAGGGCCCGTATATTCATTTTCAATTGCTGCAAAATTTAGTCATTAGAGATTTACAGCATTGTAATCCGCCAATTATAATAACTTACTCATAGCTTCTAAATTAATACTGTCTGCTATGTTTCGTTTATTGTCTTCTACGGATATAGCTTTCTCAAAAGCTATTTTTTTCACTACTTTATTACATTCTGTATATTTCGCTCTAGCATCTTTATCATTTGGTCTAACTTTAGTTACCTGGAAAAAGCTACATATTAATAATAATAATAATAATAATATTTATTTACTCAATGTACAAAGATAACAAACAATATGAGTAAAAAAATATAAAATCAAAACAGGCCCAATAGAAGGCATCGCCTGTACATGGACCAATAATTTAAGTTGAAACTGTAGAATGCAAATGACAAAAAAGGACAAAAATTAGCTACAGTAGATTATGTATTTAGTTGATTAGTGCTATCTATTGTTTTTTATATTAAAGATATCACGCAGGCCTAAAATAATAATAATAAAACATTGCTTTATTTGTATCTTATATTTCTTAGATATTTATCATTGAAAAAAATTATTCCTTCTCAATGTTTTCTTTTTACAGTCACGATATACATCAGGAGTGTTTGAGCAACGTCGACAAGAATTTATTACGAACTTGGACAATCTGTTTGGTATTGCGCATGCCGATGCCCTTCAATTGATGAAAATAAATGAAGAAAGGATCTTCTTGCAGCGGCAGAGAGAGCCAGGTTGACCTGGTCGTTTAGCTGGGGTGGTTAAGAAATTAGCCATAAAAGAAGAAGAGACGCGTCTTAGGAACACCAAAGAAAAAAAAACGGCGAGCTAAATATGTTACTTTCTTAACTGCTTCGACATCATCTTACAAACCAGTGCAAGAAAATTCATATTCAGATTCCGAGATAGATTAACAGGAAACTTTTCCCATCCCAGCTCAGAGCACACAACATGATACTACTCAAACTCAAATGAGGAAAAGTTTCAGAACTCCAAAATTAGTGGCAGCATTAAATACGAGTGGTCCCAGAAGTACCTGCCCTGACCTAGAGATGGCGATAGTTGTTTGAAAAATATCATTGTATTAGAAAGTATGCAACCTATAAAGCATATGTGTCAAGTTTGAAGATGCCACGTTGTTTAGTATTTGTTTGGCAGCCATCAATACTGAACGTTTTCAGTGAATTTGTGAAAATGGGGAAAATTGGTCATCGTTATGTGGTACAATACTTTTATTTCAAAGGCCTCAGCCCAACCAATATAAAAGCTGAACTGGATTCTACTCTGGGTGAGTCTGCTCCTTCGTTTACAACAGTAAGATATTGGCTAGCAGAGTTTAAACGAGGCCGTATGAGCTGCCAAGACGAGCATCGCAGTGGTCGACCAAATGAGGTGACGACTCCAGAAATGGTGAAGAAAATTCACAAAGCGGTACTGAATGATCGTCGACTGAAAGTGCGCGAGCTAGCAGACATAGTAGGCATTTCAAAAAGTGCGGTTCATCGCATATTATCTGAAAATTTGGACATAAGAAATCTGTGCGCAAGATGGGTGCCGCGATTGGTCACAATCGAGCAAAAACACTGTCGTGAAGATGTTTCAGTTGAGTGTTTAGCGAAGTTTCACATCAACAAAGCAGAATGTTTGCGTCGTTTCATAACCATGGATGAAACATGGGTCCATCACTTCACACCCAAGACAAAAGAACAATCAAAACAATGGACTCAAAAGGGAGAGCCGGCTCCAAAGAAGGCGAAGACCGTTTCATCTGCAGGCAAGGTTATGGCGTCGGTTTTTTGGGATGCGCGAGGGATAATTTTCGTTGACTCACTTGAAAAAGGTAAAACTATTAACGGCGATTATTATGCGAACTTATTCATACTAAGTGACATATAAATCCGAACACCCATTTTAAATGGTTTTATTTTAATAAAAGTTGGTGAATGTATTTATCTTACTGTAAATAACAAGTGAAAAAATGTTCAGCCTTATCAGTTGGACATTCCGGTTTTTATACTGCTTTTTAAGGGACCGTTTCTCCACTACCAGGTCCATTGCAAATGAATGGTTTGCAGAACACGGAAGAGCTATTGGCATGCGAAGTGTTTACCGACGAATGAGAAGTTTTGGCTTGTTTTCATACCGGCCACACTGGGTCCTCCCTTTAACTTGAGAACACCGACGTAATCGCCTTGAGTGGTGCAGACAACGCAACGGTCACTCTGGGATCAGGAATGGAACAGTATTGTCTTTAGTGACGAGTCTCGATTTTGTTTAGGCATGCACGATGGTCGTGCCAGGGTTAGAAGGCGACGTGGTGAAAGGAGGAATCCGCAGTTTTTTGTTGAAAGACATGATCATCACACTGTTGGAGTTATGGTTTGGGGTGCTATAGCTTATGGTTCCAGGTCACCTTTAATCTTCATCAGAGGTAACATGAACGCGCAGCGTTATATCCACGAAGTTCTAGAACCCCATCTTTTACCCTATCTTGACACCCTGGTAGATCCAACTTTCCAACAAGATAATGCCAGACCACATGTTGCAAGAGTCACAATAGACTTCTTTCAACATAATGATGCCACATTGTTACCATGGCCACCAAGATCTCCCGACTTATCCCCAAATGAGCACGTGTGGGATATGATGGGTAGGAGATTGCTCAATTTGCAACGTCCTCCTTAGACTCTAGAAGCACTTCGAGAGGAGTTGGTGGTTGCCTGGAATGAGATACCACAGGAGGACATTGACCACCTGATCAGAAGCATGCCTAGGCGCGTTGGAGAAAGCGTAGCACATCAGGGTGCATCCACACATTATTAAAGGTGAAAGGGCTTTAAAGCAGTGCAATCATTTTGAAATTTTTATCATTTACTTATTATGCTTCATTAAGTACTTATACAAAATTTTATTAAAATAAAACCATTTAAACTGGGTGTTCGGATTTATATGTCACTTAGTATAGTTAAGACTACCAGCTCACAAATCCGTTATTGCAATGGCCAAAATTAACGAATTAAATTTTGAATTGCTACCTCATGCACCCTATTCACCAGATTTAGCCCCCTCCGATTATTTTCTGTTTCCAAACTTGAAAAAATGGCTCAGTGGTCAAAGATTTTCCAACAATGAAGAAGTGATGTCGGCAGTTAATGGCTATTTTGAGGAGCAAGACAGTTCTTATTATAAAAAGAGTATCGAACTTATTGAACATCGCTGGGAAAAGTGTATAGAGCTCAAAGGAGATTATGTTGAAAAATAAATACATTTTTTTACAAAATTTTTGTGTTTGCTTCGTTGGTCGGGTACTTCTGGGATCACCCTCGTAGGTGTCACTTAAGTATGAGAAATGCTGTTTTTATTATTTTATCAACCAGTGAGGCACTTGGACATTACACTAACGAGTCCCCTATAAGCAAGTCCTCCATTCACAGAATTCGTACCGAATAGCGAAAGGGGCGCGCAGAAGCTATAAACCTTGATTTCCAAAGCGAGGTACCGGATATTGTAACAAATGGTAAACTGTTGCCACCTTTAAATGCACACAAGTCAACGAGCAGGCTCAGGCAGTTTGGGATGCTATTATTGACTGGAATCTTTGAGATAAAGTTCAGATTCTCTGTTGTGATACTACGTTAACGGTGCTTGCGTGCTCCTCGAACAGAAACTTAATAAAAAAATGCCACTACAAGCTTTGACATTACAATGTTTAAACAGTTTCGCAAGAGCTGGAAAAGTGTGGATCCCGAGAAAATACATATTTATACTTAAAGGCCATCATGCCTAAATCTGTCAAATACTGACAAGCTGCTAGAAATGTATCGACATGAATTGACCACAGAAGTTGCTAGAGATGACCCTTGAGAATTAATAGAACTTTCAATGATATTCCTTGGCAGAGATATCAATCAAAAATAGCCTCAGTTTCCAGCTCAAACTTTCTAATAATGATCAGGCAGCTCTTTTAGATATATGCCTATTCATCGTGACAACATACGTGAAACAGTGGTTGCAATGCACTTTAGCGGTAAAAGCACCTAACCAGGATTTATGCTTTCTAAAGGCAATGAAGGCTTACGAAAGAACTGACAAAACCATTTCAAAAGCAGCTTTACAAAAGTTCTGCCAACATTTATGGTATTTGACAGATAAGGTCTCTGTCTGATCTCTGTTTGGCGATGACGTAGGTGAGGAAACTAAAGTAAAAATTGTTGCAAATTTAGCCAAATCAGTCGACAGTAAACGCTACATCCCATCGAAAGAATAACTTTCTGGTCCATTTTATGGTAAGTCTGACGAATAAATTTTCCGTTGTCTTCTTTTACTGCTTCAACATAATGTGCTAACTGTTAAAATAATCCAGCATAAACTGCGATTCTGGTAATAGATGGCATCTTATACTGTCTTGTTTCCATAGATATTATATCTCAGATAGAGGTTAGTTGCTATGTTTGCGTTCGTAATCCTGACCTGAAGCCAAGCCTAGACGATGCTGATGAGTTGCCAAAAACCACAAAACATCTGTTCATGGTCGACTGTCTCTGGTCGGACGGACAAAATCAGTATGTTTAGATGGTAGCTATCCGTTTTTTCGTTTCAGAGAAAAATACCGATGACTTTGTTTCAATCAAAAGCAAGTCCTTATTCAGTCAACTCAAAACTGAAGACGAGTGTACAACTTCATGGCCACATAATGATTCTTTTCAACACGCTAAGAATACGGTGCAAACACTGAGAGCAGGTAATGAATACGGCAGAAAGAGCCGTCAAGTTGATGCAAGACTTCCATGGCTTAATCACTGCTGATGAGGAACAAAAACTATTTTTATTATGTTGCGTATCCTAAATGTAAAAAGAAAACTTTGAAAAAAAAATTTAGTAAATAATGTTCTTTTAATGATACATAACTAAGAAATATATATAAGTTTGACCGAACGTCGTTCCCCGATCGCAATATTTATTTTTTAAGTTATGAGTCAAATGGAAAAAAATTAGAGGATATTCGTATCTCAATTCTAACAAAACATTACATCATTATAATTACATATTATTGTTATTAATATTATTTAATTTGAAACTGAGTTCGTTGCAATTTTTGTTGCCTTGTGTGAAATCTAATACATTGTGTCTTGTTTAGATTTAAATATAAATTATAATTTGAAAACCAGTTATGCAGTCTAGACAATGAAACTTCCATGTTATCTTGTAATTGTTCCTCTGAAAAACCAGAAGCTACAATTGAGGTATCATGTGCGAATGGAGTTATCAATACACCAGGTACAACATTAAGTAACTCGTATACATAAAGCAAAAATAAAATAGGGCCTAGAACAGTCCCCTGTGGGACACTCATCAAACATTCTTCAATCCCAGAATTAACTTGAACCATAGTACCACCAGAGTTTAAGGCCTTTAAGACGATACGTCGTCAGTCGTCCCTACAATTGTAGGGCGCGTTTATGGCCTCCTTTATTGTCATAATCTTTCTCTCCTTCAAAAATTTCTAGATTACACTTGTCCCGTGTCAGCGTCAGCGCTCTACTATTGTGAAGATATGTTTTTTTTAAACTGTAGGAAATTTCAGGCTGATAAAACATGGTATAACTCAAAAGCAAGCACAATTTGATGCAAATAGATGTTTGTGACATAACCTCAAAATAGAGTTCTGACACGGAGAAGTAGAAAACTGTGACAAGGAGGCCATAAAGGCGCCCTGCAATTGTAGGGACGACTGATGATACGGGCCTAAATGGTGTATAGCTACATACTGCTTTCTGTTTGTGAGGGAGGTCCGCAACTAATCTAATTGCTGTTTTTTATGCCATAAAGTGCTAGCCTATTTAGAAGAGTATCATGTTCGATACAGTCGAAAGTGCTGCTGAAGTCACAGAAGACCGCAACAGAGCTCTCCCTTGCCTTGACGAAGTGAACAACTTCATCATGAAATGTATGGATAGCAGAGTTTGTGGATTTACTAGCCTGAAAACCATGCTGTCGCTCGTTGATTAGCTTGTTTTCCCCAAAAATCCATATTCCAGTAATTTAGAAAAAGAGCTTACTCTTAGCCCAGAGCAACTGAACGTAACCCAGTATTTTTAATGCAGTGTATTAGTAATTTTTCTTATACGTACATATTCATAATTTTTCAGTGCCTCCTTAAACTTTCCTAAGGACATATATGCTGCCGCTCTCCTGTAGTATCCCTTTACATAGGTTTTGTCGAGTTCTACTGCTTTAGATGCATCCGTCAGGGCATAGCCAAAACATTCTGTCTTTAGGTATGCAAAACTCCGATTTGCATAGTATATAGCTACATTTGGATTTTTCTCTATTGCTAAAGTGTAGAGTTCTATTGCTTTGTTGAAGTCCATTTCTGAAAAAAAAGCACCATAACTTAAAAAAATCACGAGGGTCACTGCTGCTACTTCATAAGACTGAATGAGTGAATTCGTATTTAACAAAAGTTGATGATTTATTGAAGTGATTCTCTGTTATGGAGACAGAAGACGCCACAAGAAGTCGGTTTTCCTAGACCCTTCTTTGATAAGATCAAGCGAAGAAACTGGATCGAATTATGTTTCTGTGCAGCTGCGAAGACATTTTGCGGACTATAAGCATGACACAATAAAAAAAATGGCGTCAAGTAGGTTGACTCTGAACTTCTCACGCAACCATTAGGTTTAGAGCTGTTTTTTTTTTTGAGATAAGCTAAATGGTTAGTTTTAGCAATGGTTATGTCACTTTTCAACAGAGCTGATTAGAAATCAACACAACAATCTTAAATTCATTTTTTTGTGAAAAATCTCTTCCATCCCTCAACTTTGGAGGGCGGTAAAAAAATGGTGGGTCTATTTCATTATTCGTTTTATTGTAAAAACTATTTCAATCCAACCCTGAAAATTTCATGTTGCTACGATAAGTGCCTCTTGTATCTATACATGTAAACAAGAAATTCTATTTTACGAGCTACACTCCAAACGACTTGATGGATTTTGACATATGAGGTACTGTTAGATTTGACCTAGCACTACGAGTGATACTGTGTGTATTAACATTTTGTAAAATCAGAATGGCGGATTTTTTACGCAAATAGCCAAATCAGCTTAATGAACTTGGGCATTCAACTCGGCATTCCAGGTGCCTTCAATCTTCGTTCCGGCCGAAATTACTAAGTCAGGCAATGGTCCAGCGCGGAATTTGTATCTAACGTTTGGCATCTTAGTAGCATCATGTAATATTCTATTACGGTGCTGCCCTAGGAAATGCTCGAGCAGCTGCTCGCATATATCGGGAGTATGTGGTTAGAAGAGGTGGACCACAACCGGCGGTATATCCCTACTACCGAGTTTTTCTACGCGTCCATAATGCGTATATGGAGGGCCGCATACTAGGCACTCATCGTCAGCTAGGAGCGCCGAGGATACGCCCAGAAGACATGGAAGCTATAATAGAAGCAGCCGAGAGAGATTCCTGTATAAGCAAAAGAGCCATTGCCCGAAGCAGAAACATATCCCATACTTCAGTGTGCGCACAATACTACGCTCAGACAACATGTATCCTTACCATGTACAAAAAGTACAAGTATTGCTTCCAAGCGACTATCCACAATTTTGAGAGAATATGTTGAGAAGGTGCGAAGAAGATGAAACTTTTTTCGACAGCATCTTATGGACAGATGAATCCAACTTTAACCGAAATGGAATATTCAACACGCACAATTTCCATTGATGGAGCGTGGAAAATCCACACGCTATTCGCCGAAACAGCTTTCAATGTAAGTTCCTCGTTAATGTATGGGCTGGTGTACTCAGCAAAACATTAATTGGACCATATGAATTGCCCGCCAGGTTGAATGGTCAGTCATATCTTGCTTTTCTACAAAGCAGTTTGCATGAGCTGCTAGAGGATCTACCTTTGGACGTTCGAAGCCGCATCTATTTTCCATGAGATGGTGCCCCATGCCACTTTGCACGGGATGTACGGCATTACTTAGACAGTGCCTTTCCTGGGAGTTGGATAGGTAGAAGTGGACACATACGATGACCTCCAAGGTCACCTGATTTAAATCATCTAGATTTTATTATATGGAGGTTTTATAAGGTGACAATCTGTACATCTGAATATACAAATGTCAACCAACTGCGCCAGAAAATGGATGAAAAAATAAAATTATAGAAAACGCAAATTCATTTCAAAGACTAAAGGACAATTTTATTAGAAGGTGTCGCTTGTGTATAGAAAATAATGAAGGCCATTTAGTTAAACCAACTTATCTTCCACACTTGCCGATAAATCGCCATAAAGAGCGGCTAAACACAATAGGTTCTGTACTTGTAGGTGGTAAGGATTCTGTTGCATTTCTTACGTTTATCGCATCACAACAACGAATGTGACATGATACACTCATCATAGCAAGCTGAAATTTCCAGGGTTTATTCTACATGGATTGAAATAGTTTTTACAATAAAATTAATAATGAAATACAACCTCAATTTTTTTACCGCCCTCCAAAGTTGAGGCATGGAAGAGATTTTTAACAATTTGCGTTGATTTCTAATAAGCTCTGTTAAAAAGTGACATAACCATTGCTAAAACTAATCATTTAGCTTATTTCAGAAGAAAAAATAACAGCCCTAAACCTAATGGTTTAGTTGTAATTGCGATTGAAAGTTCAATATCCCGTTTTTTCGAAATTTCACGAAATTGCAAATATCTCCTGAACTATAAAATTTCAAGCCACACATATAAGGGGTTCATTCGATAGGTTTTGAGCCCCTCTATCACCAAACTTCCGTTGATCCACTACTAACTTTACACCCTGTATGTAATTAAACATAAATCCTTCTAAAGAACTGGATGTTGAACAGCAATTTGAATGAAAAAATAAGCTTTTTGACGGGTGATGGTAAAAAAATGGTTTACAGAACTCGTCACAAGGGGATTCCTTTGACAGGTATGTATGCATATTATTTTTTTAGACAAAGTTTTTTGTATTAATGCGTCGATTTTGTTTGCATATCAATTCTAAAATAGATAAAAAGTAAGATTATCAATAGGTTTGTCGTGACAAAAACGCAAAACAATTTTTTTTAGGTCCGCTAATAAGATGCAAACCAAAAGAAATAGCCGATTCTTTAGGGTATCCTACAATCAGTGATTCTTCCGGTTGGCTCAATAAATTTAGAATTCGGCATAATATGGGTTTTAAAGCGAGAGAAGGAGCGTCAGTTAAGGCTGAAGATGAGTCATCATTTTTGGAAAAAAATCCTTCTTTGATTAAGGGATATTCACTGAGAGACATATGCAACATTAACAATTAACAATAGTACGTGTGGGGCCGTTCTGAAATCTGTATTCAATGACCAATCTTTTATTCAATAAATGCAGTTATAGCCCAGTACATTTTTGTTTCATCACAGATGGTCAAAGCTGAGGAAACAACATCAGAAGGTTATAAGTCCCAAAACAGTCCTTATTTTATCACGGTTCCTTAATATCTTTCAACTACATTGCATTTGTATATAATAAAGCAACTATCTAGAAGTATTTTATAGAAAAAATGAACAAAGTATAACCTTATTTGTACATGCAGCTAAAGACCACAGATGAAAAGTTCGTTTTTTTTAAATATAAGAAAAAATGTATAACCTCAAAAACGGTAACACTTTTATATAGGTAAGTTTTTGTTATTTGGGAGGTCGTCCAAAGCCTATCTTCTCCTTAAGTTTGTCGTGGTACTTATTGGACACCATGTATTTATTTTTGCTCCCTAATTGTACATCAGCTTATCAAGCACTTGACTGGATTCAGTTTATTTGCCAAAAACTGCTTGGGACCAAGTAACCAAAGAAACAAGAGCAAAATTGGTGTGAGAGTAATAAGCTGTATGTTAATATGGATAAATGTATGTGTATGCAGTTCTCCAAATCTTTAACCGTATCAGAAAATACTTATTCTGTGATAGGGCTATCTTTAAAAATGTTAGGCTGATTAGGGATCAGGGATTCAAAGTTACAGATTATAGAGTTGATTCAGGAAGGCTTTGAGGATGTTGGGTTTCATACAGAGGAATACTAGAGAGGTCACAGACATTTTTTCTATAAAACTACTATATACATCTCTTGTCAGATCTCATTTAGAATCTAGCGTCTTCTAGTGTCTGGAACCCCTACTATCAAGTCCACATTGAATTCTATTCAGAGAAAATTTACTAAATATATAGCTTTTAAAATAAACATCCCCAATGACTACATAAACTATAGGGATATGGAATCTGACCTAAAACTCAATAGTATGGTCAAGCTTAGAGACAATTTTGACACTCTTTTGTGTCACAAAATTATTACTGTACTAATAAATAGGCCCGAACTCTTCGGCATGATAGATTTTAATGTGCCTCCTAGGACCTTAAGAGGCCAGAAGTCATTCAAACAAACCTTAAAAAATGTTACCTAACCTTTTATATATGTTATTTCTGATTACGTTGTACTTTATTCTTAATAATTTGGTTGTGTTAAATTTTATTTATCTGGACATTAATTTTAAACATTTCTTATTAAAATTCTAAGTAAATTTAGTTATCTTATTAATTTAAATTAAATAAAATTATAAAATTGGACATGAACGAATGAATAAATAGTTAAAATTGCTTCCACAAAGCAGGATTTAAGCATGAAAATATGAGAAGACCAGTTAAATGAGGATGACTCAGAAGATGATTCACCTCTTAATGTACTTTCAGATATCCTCAAAAATAAGAATTTATTGAAATTGACTGATAATGAAAACCTTTGATTTTTTTAACCTCGATAAAAGTTTGTATGCTGAAGACCCAGACTCAGGCCAAGAAATTGAGAAATCCAGATGAAATACAAAAACTTTCTAAAGATTCTGATGTCGATGAATTCCAGTACCAACAATATTCTATTCCAAATTATGATAAAGCTATTACCCTGAGCAAGCACATCAAAACTTTTGTTGAAAATCAGGGAAAGGGAGTCTTTGGAGCTTTTTTCTATACTAGAAATACGATTTAAAGATGTCATTTTAAATAAAAAGAGGATACAAATGACAATATATGAATTTTTCGTCCTCCTAGTGACTTTTTATTTCATTGTTTGGTGTTAATACATATACACTACCGCTCAAAAGTTTTGGGACAGTACATTTTTTGAGGGAAATCAAACCAAATCAAACCATAGAGTGTGTTTAATAAAAAAAAAATTAAAAAGAAACTTGTTTCCACTGAAACTTAATCAGTTGGTAACTTAATTCTATCAAAATTTACTTTAAATTCGTGATTCATCGAAGTGTCCACCACGAGCCCGAATAACTGCATTACAGACACGAATCGTCCGACGTATCAATTTTTCAAGAATAGTTGGTGATAAGGATACCTGTGCTTCCTGTAGCTTGGACCACAAGTCTGCAGCACTAGTAGGCTCTTGTTGCTTCACTTGTCTGTCCAATTCCTCCCACAAATATTCATCAGGAGACAAATCTGGAGACTGGGAAGGTCACATCATGATTTTCATTGCACCAAGTTATTGCTGCTGGTCCAAATAATTACAGCATAGTCGAGATGAATGTTTAGGGTCGTTGTCTTGCTGACTTTCGAAATTGTACCCTACAATCCTTTGTCCTGAGGGAACAGCATGGTTTTCCAATATTTCCAAATACTGCTCTTTTCGCATTGTACCCTCAATATGAACCAAATCTCCTGTTTGATTTCCAGCAAAACATCCCCAAACCATTACAATCTCAGCTCCATGCTTAACATTGCGGAGTCATGCATCCATGAGGTTGGCGTCGTACAAACTGTCGTCGTCGAGAGCCGAACATCTCAAATTTGGATTCATCCAACCAAAGGACTTGATTCCAATCGTCAATGGTCGAATCCGAATGTTCTTGGGCCCATGCTAACTGGTTGCGTTTGTGTATAGGTCACAGGAGTGGTTTGCATGCTGCTACACATCCTCTAAGTTTAGCCCTTTGTAAGCGGTATTTTACCGTAGACACGGACACAGTATTCTCCTTTATTCTTTTAAGCTGTGGGTGAGTTCTGGCGCAGCTAAATGTATATTTCGTTTACTTGTTATTACTATAAGCCTATCCTCAGGAAAAGTTGTAACTCTGCGTCTGCCAGGGCATGGATGATCTATGCCACTGCCTGTTTCTCTCTTTTTCTTCGAAATTTGAGACACTGTGTTCCACCCTTTATGCAGCCTTTTAGCAATCGCTCTAATTGGCAATCCCTCATCACATAAGGCACACACTGCACCCCGTTTTTCAAGAGAGACGTCTTTACCATTTTTGGTTATTTTGAAAAAATCGGAGCCTAGCACATCGACTAGTAGTTTATACTAAACTACTTACAATTTTCACTTTGTTTCATCAATACCCAGAATGTTTATGTATTATATTAAGCCAAACATAATACATAGTACGAAAAAAGTAAACAGCAGCAGGAATTCGACCGATTTATGACTGCAATGAACTAATAAAACTATGGGCGTCTCTAAAGGAGTTTACATTTATTCCCTTTTAAGTGGTGTTTCACTGATTCTTATACATCTTTAGCTTGAATAGTTGTATTATAGATGGTAATAATCAATCAATGTCATATATGCCTTATTTATTTTAAGTACTCTTGAAAAAAAAAAGTAAACAGCAGCAGGAATTCGACCGAATTATGACTGCAATGCCTTATTTATTTTAAGTACTCTTGTAAAAAGTTGTCCCAAAATATTTGAGCGGTAGTGTATGTACATACTTTTGTTTTGTTTATTTTAAAAACATTTATAACTTTTCATGAAAAACATAATTTTTTTGTATTTCTTTTATACTGACACCCCTGTTGCACAGACACTTTCAGTCAGTCCTGTTGGTATCTGTCTAAAGGAGATTTCACTGTACATATATTCATTTTTTATAACTCTTAACCTAATTTCAGTGGAAGTAATCCTGTAAGAACATGTAATAAGATTCAATTTTTTTCTATCCCTTCCAAGATTGTAAGAGCCTCACACTTTGTCTTCAAGGGCGCGTACAGTTTTATCTAAGGTGGCATTACATGTTAAGAAGTGCATAGGTAACTATTACGAAAAGTGCTTTAGCAAACATAGTACATAATTATTTACTAAATACTAAAGATACCAAATGAGAGGTATATAAATACAAGATACAAACTAAATTTTAAAAATGTATTTTAAATACAAGATGAAAATACGTATTTTCTATCTGTATTCCAGAAAACTTGTATCTTAAATAAGTTACATCTCTGTTTATTACAAGGTTCCTTACATTCTTGAACTAAATACGTGTGTAACAATATTGCAAAATTTTATATTTTTATAATCAGCCGTCTAAAGGAGCAGTGAATTAAAACAATGTAGAAATAATGATCCTTTGCTTTTATAAGCAATCTCTTTTCCAAAGATTTCTTTGAGGTTATGTTAGGAAATTATAAGACAGGTCCCATAATAAATTAAACAGCTAATCGTCAATTATACGATCTGAATGGTATAATTCAGGAGCTTGGGAGCTTCACTTGCAGATACTTACGTTTGAAATATTCATTTGCCTCATTTTTGTACTGTTCCGCCTTCTCTATATCTTCTTGGGATAGCGGATGAACCTCAGGTGATTCGGAGCTCATTTTATATTTTGCGAAATTGATGAATAATTATTTAATTGAACAGTATGTCGGTTATTTAACTACAGCTAAAAAACATCACTTAACACTCAAGGTAAAAAATGAATGAGAAATAATCCTAAAGTTGAAGTTTAGAGATTTTTCAAATGAATGCAAACGTCAACGACATCCTAATAGAGATGAGACATCAAAACTGTCGTGTTAGATATCGTACATTAGAAAAGACTTTCATAGAATCATATATTTTTGCTGTTCGTGTTGTAAAAACGACTCCAAAAATCAAGGCTCGATCTATCTTCAGCTGAGCTCCACCCGACCTGCGGCGCACCCACAAAACATATTATGCGGGTCCCACACGATGCTTCCAACGTTTTTGTATGACCTGTAAGCACTTGATAATTCATAATTTACTAAAATACATCATATTCTTAGGCTAGCCATAACTTAAAGTTAGTTACGGAACATACATTATTATGAATAGGTAAGTATTCAAATCAAAATACTTCCCACATACCACTACTTCACCATCAAACACTACATCTCGAACCATGCTTCCAACGTTGTAACGTCCTTTGACGCGGGTCAAATTTACTGACAAGAGAATGAACGTGCCATGTGGCGAACGTTGGACACATGCACATGTGTTTTGTGGCGACAAATCCTGTATCACTTATGAAGTTTATTCTCCCATCTCTAGTCTTCATGATTTCACTCTTGAATAAGTAACTGATACCAACATGAAAATTCCGAATGTCACTAGCAAATTTGGGGAATTTGCTTTTGCACCAGTTGAAACTATATTCCCAAATATATTATATTGCGACCAATTTATTGACTAATTGTAAATTCTAAACTTGTTATACACATTTATACTTTGCGTAAATATTAGGAGAAGTATAAAATCCCTTACATGTCATGTATTTCCGCCATATGTGATTACACTACATTCAAATTTGGCGCGCGCTTGGGTGTCTTCGAGGATTGCATTGCGCTGCCACTTTGGCATTAGCATTACGTCAATCATCAGAGTTGTTGGGATTTGTACTGAACGTCGTCCCAAATTTGCATTTTGTCTAATATTTGTCTGTTTTTACAAACTATTTTAGTGTTAATAAGTGCAATACATACGGAAAATATTACACAAGGACTACGACAATAAAACGAATATAGAAAATGAATCCAGAATAGTGAGTATCGATTAATTTTGCATTTTCATTAGACATTTTGTTTTGACAAGGATGGTTGGGTATTTGAAGCAAATTACGCAGCGAATCCTTTGTGGAATGTATTTTGTTCGACATATTAGAGGCGATAATCTCTTGGATGCAAATCAAAATGTTATTATTATTTGTTTGCTTTTACACAATTGCTTGCATTCACCATCCACCCACTTTTCAGTTCTCGCACCTAAACTTCAGATCAAATGGTCGAGTTTCTTACCTGCTGAGTTGACTCAGCTCCGAGATTATCGCAGATTTTACATCGTGAATCGCCTCTAATTTCTGCGTATCACTAAATATACTAATAAGCTTTTTTGTGGAGCGAAAATAAAATTCTGAGATAACAAAGAACATTCCAAACATGCCTGTTATTTTTCCTTTATATGATGATCAACAGTATGCAAATTATAATAGTTTTCTCCTGAACATGAACATTATTCATATAATTTGGGTAATGCTTATTGATTCCAGGACAACTAATGAATCCAGTTTTGTTAATTGTAATTGTGTAAATTTAATTAACCAACATTAATTTATTATAGTATGAGGTTATAAAAATAGTAATAAAAAATGTGAGAAATGGAAGCCCAGTGTTAGAGCACCCTAAGAGAGTTAGAAGTTAGAATCACTACCATGTATTATATCAGATTTGTTTTGTTTGTTTAGGAGTTATCATTTTTCAGTTCTTAGCTTATTTTGATCATAACTTCATAAATAAATGAGATAATTGCCTATTTTTCCAATGTAATTTAGCTAAAACTTGAGAGCTGGCACAATAATCTTTCCCCCAATAAGGAATTTATGTTTATCAGATTCTGTCAAATATAGTCATTAGTATCCATACAAAATATGATGATGCCTACCTAAGCACAGATCTGATTTGCAGCTTCATTACATAACTTGGTGACTGTGCACTTCCCATGCAATGCCCTTATCAGTTCATGATTATTTTAAGCACAAGCTAGATGCTCTGAGAATAAAATTATACCGAACATAGTTACCAGTCACACAGCAATAATTCCATGTACAATGAAACCTCTTTGTTTCGATACCTATGGGAGTCACTGGATGTGTCCATTCAAGAGGAGTGTTCATATAGAAGAAATACAGTAAAAATCATGTTTTTAATGAAAACTGAATGTATTAAACAAACAGGGATATTTACATATATAACTAAAAAAGGCCTGTATGTACATGTACAAAGTATGTTTGTACATATATATATATATATATATATATACAGGGTTATCCAAATTAAGTGTCCACCATTAGTAACTTTGTTATTAGTGAAAATACAAAGTTGTTTGAATTAGCAAACTAGTAGCATTTTTAACGCTGGTAAAAATGAGAAATAAAAAAAAACAATTGAGAGTCGTTATTTTGATTTTTTTCAGTAAAATAACATTTTTTTAAATGGAAACCCCTGTATATTAAATTTTTTTCTGTTAAAGCATCAAATTTTAAACAAAAGAGCTTACAATAACTTTTCTCCTAGGTTACAAATTGTTGAAGTTATGGCCTCCAATCTGAAACAATTAAATTATATCGACAAACTTTATTTTCAACATCAATTTATAATCTTACAAAATACAATAACAATTTTTTTTAAAGAAGATGCTCGAAAACACCACCTTGTTCTTCAATACATTTTTGGGCACGTTTTTCAACTGCTCGAACTGTCTTAAGTATGGTCCTACCATCTATCTGGGTTATCTTTTCCCTAACTGCAGTCTTTAACGCGTCAAGGTTATCGTACCTTCGCTTGTAAATTTGGTTCTTTAAGTAACCCCACAAGAAGTAATCAAGTGGGTTTAGATCTGGTGATCTGGGAGGCCACTGTATTGGGCCATTTGTTCCTATCCACTGATCATTAAAAGTAGTACTTAGAAAATGATAAGTACCTCTGGAGTTGTGGGCAGGTGCGCCATCTTGCTGAAAATGCAGATGATGTCTACTTATAAGATCCAATTCGTCTAAGAAATTAGTCAGAATTTCTGACATAAATTCCACATATCTTTCACCAGTTAGGGTTCCCTCATAAAAGAACGGGCCAACAATTTTTGAACCAATTATACCGCACCAAACGTTGAAACTGAAACGGACTTGTGGGCCTCTTGGATGTACTAACAAAAGATTTTCTCTTGACCAATAATGGTGGTTTTTTCTATTAAACATTCCAGAATTTGAAAAATTTGATTCATCTGTCCATAAAAGGTAACGAAAGTTATTTACATTTTGGCTACAGAAGCTAAGATACCAATGGCAAAAAACAAGTCTTCTCTCTGGATCCCCTGCCAAAAGCGTTTGAACTGGTCGGTACTTATACGGAATAAATTTTTATTTTTTTAAAATCCTTTGAACAGTACCATAACTGAAATTAGAGTCCTTGAGAATATCTGCTATTGAATTCTCACGATAAGCTTCAAAATATCCAATAACTGCAATTTCCGTGGCCTCGCTTATTATGAATTCTTTTTTTGCCCTTGTTTTAGCAAAAACATTTTCGTTGCCCCTAAATTTTCGATAAAGTCTCAGAAAATATCGTTCATACGGTTGAATGCGAGCGGGATATAATTCACTGTAGTATTCTCTTGCTCTCAAGGAGGATTTTCTGCACACTAAATAGCATTCTAACATATCACACTTTTCTTCATGGGAGAACATTTTTCTTTAAATTAATGACACAATAAAGCTTATAAACAAGTATTTACACTAATGTTTGACATTATTTGATTTTATCATTGTTTTCCAAAGCCTTCTAGTTGCGAGTATGTCCAGTTTAACAATTTGTCGCTTATCTTAATGCTGTCAAATCGCGAACGCCATGTTGTTTTCATAGCCGTCTTAATATTATAATACTGCAAATAATTAAAAATATTTATCGTTATTTTGACTTTATTTTTGACTTTAGCGGAAAAGTCATTATGAACTTTTTTGTTTAAAATTTGATGCTTTAACAGAAAAAAATATAATATACAGGGGTTTCCATTTAAAAAAATGTTATTTTACTGAAAAAAATCAAAATAACGACTCTCAATTGTTTTTTTTTATTTCTCATTTTTACCAGCGTTAAAAATGCTACTAGTTTGCTAATTCAAACAACTTTGTATTTTCACTAATAACAAAGTTACTAATGGTGGACACTTAATTTGGATAACCCTGTATACAGGGTGGCCAACTGAGAATGTGAGGTACTGTACTGTACTGTGAAACATCTAAGAGAAACTACTGGAAAATATTTTCCAGTTTCTAAAATGGCCGCTAGGGGGCATAAGTACAATCTTGAATATAAAAAAGTGATGTTTCTGTAAATTTGGCTATATTAACCTAACAAAAAAATACTTTATCTTTAAAGTTGAGGATAATGTGAACTTTTTTTGATTGACAGCTTTTGGGGTATCTCTAAAAATAAAGTGGTGGGGGTATTCAAAGGTAAAAAACAGCTAAGCCAGTTTTAACATACTCAGGCTAGTTGAAAATAGCTATTCTTGGGCTACAAATATTATAATATATGAAGTTTTGTTAGTTTCACATGTGGTCTCTAAAACTGCATCTCGATATTTTGTTTGTAATCTAAAACTTAGTCCAAAGAAAATTTTATACAGTAATCCCCTAAATTTTAATTTTTTTAAACTATTTTTTCTAGAATTCTTTTTTATTCATCAGAATAAATATTACAAATTATCGCTAAAAGTAAGTAATGCTAATAACAAAAGCCATATTTTTTTTAAATGCATTCTCACTATGGGTATATATGAACAAGACAATTAATAGAAGCAGGCCATGGAATACAACAAAACATACATAATCTTCAAATTGTCAATAGTTTTGAGCAATTTCTGTGCTTACCATTTGCATTTTATGAATGTTGAAGCTTTTGGTATGCTTGCAGTTTATTTTGAATGTTTTCAGAATGCCGCAGTAGCAATTAGTTATTTACCTAACAAGTGTGAAAATCAATACTTTTAGCCACGTTTTAAGGGCGGAAAATACATTTTCCGCAAGTTTTAGATATAAGATTTTATCTAACAGAGCAGCGCGTGAAAATAATAAACGCAAAATTTTAAATAATAATAATAATAATAATAATATTTATTTACTCTAAAATACAGGGAACATGAAACGAGTAAATAAATATAATATATCCATAGGAGGACAACGCCTGTGCATGGATCATATGTATGTTGAATTGCAAAATATAATAAAATAGAGAGAAAAAAGAAATTATTGGTAAGAATGGTAGAGCATTTATTGTGTAATATTTGAGATTATTTTATTAATTTGATTTCTCCCAATCGTGTTAATAAATTTTTTTAATTTTTTTTTTGAAGCCTAATGTATTGCGTAATTGTTTTAAATTATTTGGTAAATGTTCGTACAATTTTGGAGCTATATACAGGTGACATCGTTTCATTAGGGATTTGTTTGGTTTAGGAACATTTTTTGCGCGTAATTTATATCTGGTTTTATGATTATGTTTAATTATGTCGTGTTCACTAATGTACTATGTTTTATTAGAAAGTTAATAATTGTAAAATCAACATGATCAACAACAACAACATCAACCACTCATTTATAATAATAAATATTAAAAGTAAAATAACATTTATTTGGATTATGAAAACTTGTAGGCGTTTTCGAAGCATGAGGAGAGGTTATGCGTGCGGAAAAGTGCTACTTTCTGGACGCTGATAGAAAAAAGAGTTTACGCGACTGATATCCAAATCGGCGTCTTTGCGGTGTGATAGTTTTTCCATGTGCCACTGGAAACACTACAAAAGTTATTTTTCAGATGGATGATTGTCCAGCACATTTTGCTTTTATTGTGCGAGAGCATATTAATGCAGTATTTCAACAGTGGTGTTTTGGAAGAGGAAGTCTGTTTCCACGGCTTCAAGATCACCAGACTTAACTTGTCTTAATTTTTATTTATGGGGATGGTTAAAGGACATTGTGTTTCAGGCGCAAACTACAACCAGAAAAGATATGAGAAACCGGTTTCATAATGGAATACGAAACATAAACTTCAAATATTATAACATTTGTAGCCCAAGAATAGCTCTTTTTAACTAACCCAAGTTTGCTAAAATCGGCTCGTCCATTTCGATGTTACGCGGTATTTTTATGGAAACTTTTGAATAAACCCACTACTTTATTTTTAGAGATAACAGCAAAAATTGTCAAACAAAATATCCTCGAATTTAAAGATCAGGTATTTATTGTTAGGTTACTATATCCGAATTCACAGAAACATCACTTTTTTAGATTCATGATTGCAGTTATGCCCCCTAGCGGACATTTCAAAAACTTGCAAATATTTTCGAGGTTTTTCTCTTGGTAAGAACTGTTTTTGCTGCAAGCCTCAGATACAATACCTCGCACTCTTAGTTGGCCACCTTGTGCATACGGATCTTTGTCTTAGTATTTCAAGATCAGTTAGATTGCAAGTGGCCATATCTGCTTAATTTAACTGTTGAAACCATATTTTCAAAAATTCAACCATCATTATGTAAAGAAGTAATTACCAAGTCTGAGTGTAGGAAACTGACCAGACCCTAAAGGAAAAGGCAGCTCTTTATTCATTTCAACTTTATGCAAATACCTCCTTTGAGCTTACCAAGGCACAGGGATATGCTCTACCTGCAAAGGGTACAGATATTATGACTATGGTCAGATCCCATTATTTCCAAAAATAAAATCATAAATTCAATAGGCTAGTTCATGTTGAATAGAGGTGGCCTTGCACACAAGCTGCCAATATCTTGGACATTGAAAACTATATTCACAAAAGACCTTTTCTAGAAATGGTCCCTAGCAGTAATAAACCATTTGTCCCTTTCTCTAAGTATGTCTTAAATACAGTGGACCCGCGGTAATCCGGACCCTGTCTAATCCGGCAACCGCCATAATCCGACGACACGCCTATCACTGTTGATTGTACACAGTGTTGCCATTTCAAAAAAATAAAATTCACCAGAAATTGGAATGAAAAATCACCAGATTTAAAAAAACCTAAAAAACACCAGGTATTTTAAAGTTAATTTTTTAACCTGTATTACTAGTTGTTTACATGTTTGTATAGAACTTGATAATTAGATTGTTTAACTCTAAATTTCATGCTACTGTGGCGAAGGCAGTAAAATATTATTTTAGTAATGCCTACCTAACACATAATTTGAATACATTTTTCCTGTTGTTTTTGTATGATTTTGAATTGCTTTTTAATACCCAGATCAGAATTATCATAAAAGAATACTATATTTTTTACTAAAGCAAATTTTTATTTTCCAATGTGATTATAATACAGGGATGTTCCAAAAGAAAGTTCATATTTGTTTAGCTTCCTGCGCGAACGCAACGAATCCGAGGGGCACGTGCATGCTAGCGTTTTATAAACACGGCGATTCAGCGACTGCAGCGCGTAGAGCATTTTGTAACATTCGAGGTATTCGGCACCTAAATACAGGGCCAAGCATACAGCTTATGAGAAAATGGGTCGAGTTGTTTGAAGAGACTCGTACAACCTTGGAACAGCCAAAATCGGGGAGACCAGGATCTTCAAGAGCGGGAGAAAACGTGGAGCTTCTGAAGCAATCTGTTCCTGGCGATCCGAGCTTCTTAATTCGAAAGTGCGTTAAATGTGCCTAGATCATCATTACAGCGCATATAAAATTCAAATTATACAAGATTTGAAGCCCTAGGATGCTAGCCAAGGACGTGAGTTTACAAATCAGGCAATTGAGCACTTTTCAACTCTCACTAACATCTTGTTTCCGGATGAAGCTCATTCTCATCTGAATGGACATGTCAATAAACAAAACTGCCGCTACTGGAGTGAGACTAATCCAAGACGCAAGCATGAGAAACTCCTACATTCCCCTAAATTGACGGTATGGGCTGCAATGTCGGCGCGAGGAATTATCGGCCTTTACTTTTTCGAGGATGAAAGAGGACGCTCAGTGACAGTTACTTTGGAGCGTTATGCTGAGATGTTAGACAACTTCCGCACACCTGAATTGCAAAACTTTCCTGGCTATAACCAAGAGTCATGGTTCCAGGAGCACGGAGCAATATCTCACACGTCCAACCAGTTTCTATCACGAGTTCGTGAAATTTTCCCTGGCAAACTGATCACCCGGAGAGGTGACATAAATTGGCCTCTACGTAGTCCTGATTTAACCACTATGGACTTTTTTATGTGTCCGAATAAATGAGTACCGTGACCGAGAAGGTTTACATTTGGGCGATGTTATTTTCAAAAAGTAGAGTCGCAAACTCTATACAATAATAAATAATTTACACATTTCCGATAGATGCATTAGTTTTTTCGTAATTAGTCCACAAAATATGAACTTTCTTTTGGGACACCCTGTACATAATACTTCTGTAAAGTAGTGTAAGTAAATTAAGAAGCATCTAATATATATTTAGAAACTGAAAATAACCCATGTAAGAGTTTAAATATAAACAATCTAATTGAATATTACATCTTTAAAAAATAATAAGCCTGTCTACTTAAAGATTTCTGATCACAAAAAAGTCTATACTTACTGGTTACAGTACTTACTAAATTAATTTTATACATCTCACTGTTGTGTCGTGATAATATTTTATTTGATACATCAAAGTTGTAGCAGCTGTTTGACTTAATGATTCTTTTAGTATGGAATATGCCACTTAATTTGTTTCACCCAGTTTAGTTTTATTTAGATTCATACTAACGTATGTATGTTTTGGCACAAAATATTCATTGATTTTTTTTTTTTAATGAAACAAATTATTTAAACACTTACTAGGTATCATAAATTACAACTCAATACTTGACTAAAGTATACATCGAATCATGTGGAGTGGCCCATTATGCTCTACCAGAAACAACTTTCTTCGAATGTCTCTCATGAGATCCTGGACGGAATTCAGATCAATTTCTCTCAGTCTCACTAAGCCCATAAATCCTGTATTGGGCGAGCCTGCCGCAAGTTTAGAGGATTATCGTTTTTGTGAAAAAAAGCAAACTGAAACAAATTGGAAAGGCAGTTATCAATATAGCTCTGATTATTCAAAGTTTTACCCCTCACTTTTCCCACAAAAGGTTGGAATACATTCCTGTTAGAAATTGCGCACCAGACAAGGATTTTATCTGCAAATTTCGCTGTATGTTTGTATCTAAGATTGTCAGGGCATTCGTCTACGTTGTCCGTCATTACTCGAAGTAATAATGATTTTCCCATTGGCAAAATGTACCCGCCTCAGATGACGACAGCATCTTAGTATAAGAAAGGAGTTGCACTTGAGAGTATTTGGGGCACTTAAGTCTCTTTCGATACTTGGGACCATTCCTCCTCAATTCCAAAGATATTGTCTCGTTGTTGACATTCCAATCTGATTTTTTGCTCTTCTCACCAATCTCTCTGACCTCTGTGCAGTCAATGCACGTGGTCTTCCACTTTTTGGGAGATTCAGATATGGTAGTCCGCTATTGTTCGATAAATGGTTCTTCGTGAAATGTTTTCATTTTGGAATATTCGACAGATTTCAGCTTTGGGTACCCGCCCAATGAACTTGTACTTAACTTTTTCTTATTTCTATTTTGTACGACATCTTAAAGTGAAAACATCAAAATAAATAAATGTCAACTGACCGTAAAGTAAGTAAACAAACTTTTGTTTCCAAAGGCAACTTGATATTGTTTTGTGTTTGTTAAAATTAAAGCCAATGAATTATGTGCCAAAACATTTAGGACATACGTTACTAAAAACTCTTTCCACACAGTGTTGTGGAGGTAAAATAAGTAGAATACCGTAAGACATACGTATTCATTTATTAATCTATGAAATTAGATGTGAGTCAAGTAGCCTATTATATTCAATCTATAAAATCAGCAGATTAAAGGGTTTCCATAACCAACGTAATAGGTACCAGAACATACGAAAGTTAACTCGAATAGATATTGCATATTCAAAGTTCATCATTTCAATTCCTCAAAATCAGCAATGCCTATTTTTACTGATACTCATTTTACTCTACGATCTTATATCAAGGTACAAGGAATTTCATAACCGTCGAATAATATAGATACCAGTCTGTACAACAGTTGATCTTAATACTACACATACTGCATTTTGAAGGTCCATTTGTTCAAAATTTTGAGGGAAGGCAGCGAGTCAATCTACTTGACGTCATTTTTTATCGCTGATTAAAAGTCTTTGGTTCTCAAGGTCCATTAGAAGACCTCTGCTTCTTAAATGGTTAACCGTAGATCCTATACAATTCATAGCACATATCTAGAACAATAAGCGCTTAGATATACAGTTTATATTAATGCTGGAAAATAGAGAAAAACATTAAACTAGGGTTGCTATTAGACAGCCTACCACATATTCGTTTAACCTTTAACCGGTTCAAAAGTATTATTAGCCATAAGTTTGACGGTCGTATTAACAAGAAATACTTTTTGAAAGTGGTGGAGTGTAAAGCGAGCTTAACTGATTCTTATTTGCATTTTAACCATGGGTTTATTGGTTTGATTACAGGGTGTTAATGAATTATATACCATCAATTTAACAGACTATTGATTGAGTATTTTTAGACAAAAAGTTTATAAAATCACAAGTCCGCCGCAAATGCTTCGTTGTCAAGATACATGGTACTAAGATAAAAAAAAAGATTTTTCGCAAATATCCTGGTCCAGTCGCGTCTCAAGCGGGATCTGAACGAATATTTACGACAAAAAATGTATGCCACTGGCTTTTGTGCAATTTTTATTATGTTCTTTGGATTAAACAAACAGAAGTACTACGTTTTTGTCTCTTGAATTTTTTCGTATATTTCTTTAGAAAAAAAGTGCACTTAATTGCAAATACATGGACCATACAACGTTTCTTTTTTAATATATTCTTTTTATAATTTTTAATTTCTAATAATGTAACAACAACAAATAACATTAACATAAGTAGTAATAAACAAAAATAATGATTTCCAAAAGAAACTTTTCCCCATATTCCTTGTGGATCAGGAATATGCAATTAAGAGGACTATTTTTTTCTCGAAAACTAAGCAAGATACGAAAAATAAAAACGTAAGAACGTAATAAAAATTGTACAAAAGGCAGTGGTATACATTTTTTGTCACAAATATTGCCGCTCGAGACGATACTGGACTTGATGAGTTTAATCAAGTGAGGGCTAAATTAGCTCCTTAATGTTATAAAAAGCACCGCCGAATCACAACAAAATTATGTAAATGATATTCAAAATATTTACAAAAAAAACATTTTTTTTAAATTTAACACCCTGTATCTTGAGAACGAAGATTTTGCGGACCCATGTTTATATAAACTTTTTGTCTTAAAATGACTCAAAGAATCAAGTGTTAAATTTATGGTACATACTTAACACCCTGTATAAGTGCCACGGGACCTAGACTTGATCGGTTTGAACCACTTAAGAGGTGGAGCAGCCGTATGATGGAAGTACGTTATTTTTCTAATTTTTTTTTTCGACTTTCCATTAGTGATAAAAAGTGGACAAGATGATAAATCGAGAGGAAATATTTAACCGTGATTTACATTTTTTTTTATAATATCTGATCAAATATATTTTTTTCCAGTGATTATTTATTTAAACTTCTACTTATTGGCGATTCAGGCGTAGGGAAGTCATGCTTACTGCTCAGGTTTGCGGTAAGTTTTACGAATTTTTTTCGCCTTCTAGGTATTATATATTGAAATATAATTACTTTTTAGGATGATACATATACGGAAAGCTACATCAGTACCATTGGGGTAGACTTTGTAAGTATTTTATTATATTATTTATTGTTCTTATTGTATGTTACTATGTTACTAAGTAGAATTTGATATTTCTGTTGATCTGTTGATGAGCCACATTCCATCACTGATAAAATATTGTCACTAGATGTGAGTTTAGTCATAATTCATTATCATATTCATATCTTTTCCATTTTCAAATATTCCGAACATTTATCGTTAATCAAATACTAATACTTATTAAATGAATAGTGAAGTCATTAGCCCATTACATACATCTTTATTGAAGTATGTATCTTTTCGGTTCATACGCTTATTTGTTCAGGGCATTAAACTGTCTAGATTTAATGGGATGGTTGTGTGTTTCTTTACAAATTATTTTTGTTTCAGAAAATCAGAACTATCGACTTAGATGGAAAAACTATTAAATTGCAAATTGTAAGTATATTTGATGGTTCATTAACTATTATACAACCATAATTGAAAGGGGTGATAGGCATTCACAGGGATGCAGGCGACTCACTTTATTCGGTCCATTTTATCGCTATTTTCGCTCTCGCTGTACATACTGTAGTTTATGAACGTTTCCGAAGGGGATGTCCTCCTCTCTACCCCATGAAATTAAATTAATATAATTATTTTATAACAATTAACAATGTCAAAGTTGTTCATGTACAGGGCTCTCCCCAAGCTGAGCCAATATGTATTACATGAAACATTACTAGGATTAGCCGAAATCTACGTCGAATTTTAATTCAACTTTACTAAAAGCACTCTATATGTACGCACTGGGGATATCAAATTCGGAAACGGTAAGCAATACAATACAAAGTCGAGCTGAAATTTTGTATCATTGTCTGGTTCGAGTGAAAATACACAATGAATATATAATATGGGTAGTCAAATGAGAGAGCTTGATGAGAGAAACGTAATAAGCAAACTGACGTAATTCTATATACAATATGACGGAGGCCGCATTTTGGAGATTTATAATTTCTATAATCTCCCTTATAATATGGGCATCAGATGAAAGGGCTTGAGAGAAACACAATAAACAAAATGTAATTTCAAATCAAATATGTCGACCTCCGCAAAATGGCGTTTATAATTTCCATAGTCACCCCGATACTATGGATATCAAATGAAAGGAATTTTTTTAAAAAAACACAATAAGCAAAGTGGAGTCATTCTGATACAGTATGGCGGACGTTTAATATGACAATTGACAATGCAATATTATTATGACATGGGCATGATCTGATGATGAATCCAGGAAGTGGTCATGAGAACCCATCGAATAGAGCCTCACATGATTCCTGATGCCAAGTACTCTAGTCTTATGGTCTGATGACTATGTTAGTCAACTATTGTGCAAAAAACTCATATACAGGGTGGCCCAATTTCTCCGGGTATATTTTTCGAAAAACGCTCGGACACATCAATTTTGATTTATAGGGGGACGCCTTTTCATCTATAGCCGTACAATACAGGGTGATCCAAAAATAACTTACACTTTAGATTTTAAATGGAAAGCCTCTTTTTTCAATTTTTAGATTCTCTAGGATGTTCTTAGTAATTTTTGTATAATAAAGTTTATACCTATCTTCAATCGTTGTGAAGCTATTTATAATAAAATTCTAGAAATTGTGATAAGGGCTTATATCGTAAAAATAATAATCAATATAGTTCCCATAGTAACAAGACTTCACTTTAAAATTAAAAACAAGTATTCGAAAAATTAAAAAACAAAGGAAACTTACAGTATACACGCACATTAAAGATAAAGTAAAAATTAATTCGCTATAAAGAGATAGGTCAATGTGGTAATAAGTGCTGAAAGTGGTGTCCATTTACCTCGATGTTATACAAATTTTGTTCGAATCTATTCCTCACATTTTCAAGCATGTCTTCAGCTATTTGTCTACATCCAGCTGTAATCCGCTGACGAAGATCTGGCTGGATGGAATCTGGCTTCGTACTAAAAACTTTACTTTTCAAATGTCCCCAAAGAAAGTATTCTAAAGGACTTAGGTCAGGAGATCTCGGCGGCCACTCGCTGGGGGCTCGTCTGCCGATCCACTGATTCGGGAAATGAGTGTCCAAAAACTGTTGTTCTGGAGCCGCATAGTGCGGCGGTGCACCATCTTGTTGAAAATGTATATAATTTTCATTACAATTGTCATTTTCTATTATTTCTGTAATTATGTGTATTTACAGCGCCATTAAATAGAACGTACACTCATCCGAAAAACAATTATTGGATAATAGATTTGCATTAAACGTTGGGATATTAATTCGCAAAACTACAACCTTCTATCAAAATCAGCTTCATTGTTTTATCTTGTACAGGTGCAATTTATTGTCTTTCAAAAGTCTTTGTACTGTTGAGCGTGTAAATCCTGAAGATGTAGAAAGTCCATGAGTGCTTTGTGTGTTGTAAAGTGCTACGTGTCTCAAAACTGCTATTTCTGCGGATTCATTTCTAACTGGTCGAGATGTCCCCCTAGAAATCAAAATTGACGTGCCCTAAAATATACCAGAAGAGTCACAAATGGAGGTGCGACCTTTTCGTTGAGCCACCCATAATAATATCTCTATCAAATTTCAACCTTTTAAGATTAGATAGTTCGCTAAAATTTAGGTTCAATCGATTGGGTAGGAATAGCTACGTATTTACAAGTGTTAGTCATATTTTTTATGTTTCTTTTATGCATCGTATGCATTTGATCTCAAAATATGCATACATATAAATAATTATTTTTGCATATGTCAATAAAACAGTAAGAAAGTCCTTATAAAGAGTTATCGTTTTTTTTCCACACATTCTTTTATATATATATATATAGGTGATAAATTAAAGCTTCCGCCTTTTGTTGGGTACTTCGACAAAATTTAAGCAAAGAGGACTCTTTATACTTTTTTAATTCTCTCTAGCTTTCAATGGACTTTGCCATCATCATCAGGAGCTGCAATTACAATGATAACACTAGCAACAAAAGTGTAAAATGAATTTAAATTGACTCAACTTACAGTAGTATGTGAGGATGTTGCTAATTGTTGTTTACGTATATATATATACGTCAATTTAAATTCATTTTACACTTTTGTTGCTACTGTTATCATTGTAATTGCAGCTCCTGATGATGATGGCAAAGTCCATTGAAAGCTAGAAAGAATTAAAAAAAGTATAAAGAGTCCTCTTTGCTTAAATTTTGTCGAAGTACCCAACAAAAGGCGGAAGCTTTAATTTTTCACCTAACTGGTCTAGACGACAATGACCACGTCTTAAGTTATATATATATATATATATTATCCATTTAAATTTGGCATTATGGTATCCAATTTCTCAGAAAATTAACTCGCTTTTTATGTATAAAATCACTATTTCTCACAACTTTATTTTTGAAAATCTCACTTTTCTCACTTAAATACATGCTTTAGGCCGCTAGTATCGCTGAACTTTTCTTACTCTAAAAGGAAATAACCTTTGTTTATTGCTTTTTGTTCTGATGCGATATACCCTGTATTTATGCCCGAACTTCTTTTTAACAATAAATGACTGACGCTTGTTTGTTTGTCTTTCAAGTGGGACACCGCAGGTCAAGAGCGATTCAGGACCATCACTTCCAGCTATTACCGAGGGGCACATGGTATCATCGTAGTGTACGATTGCACCGACCATGATTCCTTTACTAACGTGAAGCAGTGGCTGGAAGAGATCGATCGCTATGCTTGCGATAACGTTAACAAGCTGCTTGTAGGCAACAAGAGCGATCTCACTACGAAAAAGGTCGTGGATTACACTACTGCAAAGGTATGGTTCAGTTGTTTACTAATTCTCGGATAGTATTTAGTCTTATCACATGGCATAAGGGATATTTGTGAACTTTAATACGATAAATCATTGTTCAGTATGGGACTTCTGGAATATACAGGGTGTCCCGAAAAAAGTGTGCAATATTCTACCAGCGGTTTCTAGAACTTAAAATAGGAAGAAAAGTTTATGTAAACATAGGTCGGCAAACGTCCCCTAAGGGCGCTACGGTCTTTTAAAGGGGCTCCCCTGAAGATGGTTTTTCCTTAATATTTCCCAAACGTGTTGAGAGAGCAGCAAACACATCACACACTGCTGCAGGCGCAGAGTCTCTTTGAATTGAAAAGTCGGAGCGTACGTATACAAGGAGATTCTTTTCGGCACCCAATTACATGTTCGTATAGGTACCAAATAGTCCACTTAGGTGGAAAGGCATTATTATGTATACAGGGTGTTTCAAATTCGATCCTGACCCTTGGGATCTCGGAAAATGTAAGAGATACCAAGTCGCTTAAATGAGAGCAAATTTGTGTATTCAGGTAATCAACAAAATGCCGCATAGAAAGTTACGAAATTTACAACACTCCCGGAGAGAGACGGAAAAACGGATTTTCCCAAAATCGTTTTAATTTTACCCTGACTATATTTGTAGTGGGATTTCAAAATAAATTGCACATGAACATTGTCACTTTCTTCTCTACAAGATTTTTTGCACAGATGAATAAAGTTTTTAATTGTATAATACATTCATACATTGACATTGCCAAACATTAGTTATTTAAAACAACAGTTTTTCCTAGGTAGGCCTCGAAATTATCAAAATTATCAAATATCCATTTGTTTCGTATTCCAGATTTATCCCAAAATGACTTTATTTGAGATAAGATTTCAAAATAAATTGCATGTTGGTATTGTTACTCATTCTCCTCTACAGGGTGGCCAACTAAGAATGCGAGATCCTGTACCTGGGAACCTATCCATTTGCGACAAAAACAATTATTACTACAACGGCTAAGAGAAACGCCTGGAAAATAACCTAACAAAACAATACCTGATCTCTAGAGTCGAGGATATTTTGAACTTTTTTGTTTGGCAATTTTTGCTGTATCTCTAAAAAGTGGTGGGGGTATTTAAAGGTTTCCGTAAAAAACACCCAGTATCTACGAAACGGCTGGTTAAAAAGAACTATTTTCGGCCTACAAATGTTATAATATTTGAAGTTTTGTTAGTTTCACATGTGGCCTTTTTTGACATTCCGTCAGAAATGGAAATTTTCTCAAAAAAATTGAATGCATTGGTATGATTTTTTTTAATGAAAAAGTACTTAAATGATGACTAAGCAAGCTCGCGAAAACCGCATGTCGATATCTGGGTCCTAACCTAAAATTTAGGCCAAATAAAATTTTATACGGAAATCCCTTACATTTTTATTTCTGTTAAACTATTTTGTCTGGAATTTCTTATCATAATTGAGGCCCTAAAAAGGATCGATTTAAAAAAGAAAAGTTTTTAATGCCCCCATAAATGCTCGAAATGCTTACCATCACGCTCTATGCATCCCTGAAGCCTTCCATAGGTAGACAAAACTGCTGCTTAAATTTCGGCTATCTGCAAACTCTGTTGCTATGTTCAATTTGAGGTCTGGTCTGGTATATGAAACAAAATGACTGACTGATAATTTCCAGGCCTACCTAGGAACTTCTGTTTTTTTGAATAACTAAGGTTTGACAATAAATGTCATATTACACAATTTTGAAATCAGAATTAAAAACTCTTATTCATCTGCGCAAAAATCCAATATGAGCATAAATAAAGCTTACGGTGGAGTGACGAAATCTCATATTGAAATTCTAATTATGCCATCTTGTAGAGGAGAAAAAGTAGCAATGTTGATGTGTATACAAGTCAGTAAAGTCAGGAAAATATTGAAGCAGTTTTGGAAAAATTATTTGTCGAATAAGAATTAGGTTTTGAAATCCATACATCGTTTCCCTGTTAACTTTCAAATTGAAAGTTTCACCGAGTCGGCAGGGGTTATCGTTCCCCAATCGCAGTAATATTAATTTTTTGAGTTGTTAGAGTCAAATGAAAAAAATAGGGGATATGCGTTTGAAAAAAAACTTTAATGGGGTACCCTAATGAATAGGTGTCAATCAATCAAAATAAAAAGAAACAATTCTTGAAAAGTATAATAATACAGACGATGCTGTCTCTGTCTGAGACACCGTCACGGTTACCACGAATCTTGAAAAGTGGCATTATGCCGTTTTTTTACATTATGCTGTTTTTTTTTGACATTATGTAGGTTATTGTACAAGATGTTAACTCAGCACTTAGTTGTACGTGTTGCCTAAACGTCATGAGGGTTGTTATCAATCGTTGGCTCTGATGTGATGTTAAATCTGCTTCTGAGATGGCATTACTGGAGGTCTAAGCTGCAAGTTGTATGTGTTGGTGATAATTAATTACATTGGATTCTTGTCTCAAATACACTTAATTGAGATTCAAAGCTAGAAATTAATTGCGCATCCATTTTTTCTTATCCATTCTGGAAATTGCATATACAAATTTGCTGAATTTTAAAAATGAGAGAGATAAGAAATAATTATATTCACTGTACAATGTCGAATTACAAGCCATATACATGCTTACAGTAATTACACACAACGCGGGCGCCGTGATGATTTCCCGTAATTCTCCTCAGTTTTTCGTAATTTATAACTTTGAGCATAACAGCACACCATATAAATAACCCGTCATAATGGCATATTCAGTAATGATTGTCTCAAACAGCAAATATCACTGATTTTATACACATGCAGACCAATACACAATCATCCAGATGCGATCTTGCTATTCAACCAACTTTCTTCTCAGTGATAAAAACTACAGACCTGGATCACTCAGCCTCACGAAAATATGCAACCAATAATGTGTAGTTTAGTTGAGTGATTCCTCCATAGATAGACGTTCACAACGACCCTAGTGAGCAAACGTGGAATGACTGTTTGCGCCCTAAAAACTACCCAGTCTGCAAGTTGATATCTTATAGGTTTCTTTTTTGACGTTTTACATGATACCCGTGCGTGTGCGAGTACATCATATGCGTAATGCTTTTTAGGAATACGCCGACCAGCTAGGCATCCCATTCCTGGAGACCTCCGCAAAGAACGCGACGAACGTGGAGCAGGCCTTCATGACAATGGCAGCGGAGATCAAGAACCGGGTGGGGCCGCCGTCGTCTGCAGCGGATCAGGGCAATAAGGTGCGCTTCGATCAGAGCCGTCCGGTCGAGACGACCAAGTCGGGCTGCTGCTGAAAGGATACGCGGCGGCCGAAGCGTACGTCACGGGGAATGCCGCCGTTGCCGCCGCCGCCGGTCGGTACGCACCTGCTACTGATCTGCCGTATATGTCACATGTGAGTATATCTCTAATGCAGGCGGTGACACCTCCATACTCGACTGTGTATCCATGCCTTGGGCCCAAAGAGCGATCTATACTACTGTCTTTTTCACGAGTATCTATACTGTGTTACCAAAAAAAGGTAAACACCTACGTATGTTTATTAGAATTCAAGAATTTTTTACATATCGATCTATCTTGTCATGAACAACAAGTGATGAAATGGTCAGGTTTTACTGTTAAGTTTTTGTGGTGGCTGCGTGTATTGTTTGGTAATAAAGCATTCAGTTTTCGTACATTTACGGTGTCAGCTAAGCGTTAAATTTCGTGTAGTTTATTGAGAAGCCTTTTTGGGATTGCTCAAAATGCCTAGAAATCGTAGAATTCGCCAGGTGTCCCAGATAATTGACTTTGAGAGGGGTCGAATTGTCGGGTTGGGTGAAGTCGGTCTATCGATAAGAAGTTTCTAGGAGGACCAACAGATCCTTACGCAGTATACTGCAGTGTGAACGCGGGAGGACTTAGAAAGGCCGAGGACAGCGAGCGAGGGTTTCTGGACGTCCCAGAGGGACCACAGAGCGACAAGAGCGCTGGTTAAGACTTCTGGCTCTGAGAGACAGATTCAGTAGTACTCAAGCCATCGCTAATCAGTGGTTTGAAGAGCATGGAAAGATGGCTGGTATCCGTACGGTATACCGCTGAATACGACAGTTTGGCCTTTTTTCTTATCGACCACATTGGTTGCTACCTCTCACAGCTGAACATCGGCGTAACCGTTTGCTCTGGTGTAGAGAAAGAATTCTGTGGGACCGGGAATGGAATCAGGTAGTCTTTAGTGACGAATCCCGCTTCTGTTTGGGGATTGTCTTGGAGTTCTTGCAAAGCTGCAACCAAAAAGTCTGTTATCATATTGCAATAATTGTTAGCTTTAACTGTCATAGCTTGCCCTCTTTCGTCCTCAAAAAAGTACGGTCCAATAATACCGGTTGACGTAATTCTATCCCACACGACTAGTTTAGGGCTGTGAAGTGGCCATTGAGGTGAAAATTGGCCTCATCACTAAACATCACGTTGTTAAAACTGTTGAATCGGTCGAGCATCAAATTGACAAAGTTAAGTCGGTTATTGGCATCATCTGGTCTTAATTCTTGGACTAGTTGAATCTTATAAACCTTCAAATGCAAATCTCGCCTCAAAATTGACCGCAAGCTCGTTCTTTTGACGTCCAAAGTCTGACTTCTCTTACGTGTTGACTGTTGCGGATATCGCTAAAGTGAAACACGAACACGCTGTACATTGTCGGCTGATCTTGGAGAAACTAGACGACCACGAGCTGTTATTGCTACTGTCGAGCCGGTTGTTTCGAACATTCTGATCCAGTTCCGTATCACATTGGCGCTTGGAACTTCTCTTAAATCGCGTAAACCGTGTTCATGTCGATACAAACGTCGTGCAGTAATAACCGAATTATTGTTTTCGTAATACGCTCGGACACAGAATGCACGCTCCCATGTACGACTCCAGGGCGACTAAATGTCTAAGCAACTCTTATGGCCCACCCTGTATGTATCTTATAATTCTTTTCCATTTCGAGAACGCATCTTTTGAATTAGTAGAGATCCCCCAAAATGATATGCCATATCTTATGACAGAGTCAACCTATGCATGATAAAACTAATCGACTGATTTAATGGTAGAATTTCTCTTAAATTTAATAATAGTAATATAATGAATTTAGCCTCGTTATTACATAGTCACAGTGCTGCTTCCACTCCATACAGAAATCCAAATACACACCAAGGAATTTTATATACATTATGGACATTATTATTTAATTTGAAACTGAGTTCGTTACAATTTTTTTGCCTTGTGACAAATCTACATTGTGTCTTGTTTAGATATAATATAAATTATTATTTGAAAAACAGTTATATACCCTAGACAATAAACATCTATATTATCTTGTGGTTGTTCCTCTGAAAAACCAGAAGCTACAATTCAGGTATCATCTGCGAATGGAGTTATCAATTCATCAGATACAACATAAAGCAAACATTAAATAGGGCCTAGAACAGTCCCCTGAATTAACCTCAACCCTAGTACCACCAGAGATTAAATGGCGTATATCAACATACTGCTTTCTGTTTGTGAGGATGGTCCGCAACCATTCTAATGGCTGGTTTTTTATGTCACAATTATTATTAGCTTATTCAGAATAGTATTATGGTCGAAAGCCCTGCTGACGTCACAGAAGCCTCCAATAGGGCTCTCCCCTGCATTGACAAAGTGAACCACTTCATCATAAAATGTATGGATAGCAGAGTTTGTGGATTTACTAGCCTGAAAAACATGCTGCTTGTTTTCCTCAACAAACTTCAACAGGCGATCCAAATATCGATTCCTTCCAATTTTCAATATTTCGGGAAACTTTCCAATACAAAAAGATAAATTCATTAAAAAAGTCATAGGGTAGAGAATCTCAGGCCGAACTTCACGTATTAAAAAAATATGCTGGTATTAAGTCTATGTTAGGAGAACTAGAGTGGCTAAATGTGAAAAATTTCATATGTTATTTAGTTCTCATTTTCATATTCAAATTTAAAAATCATTTCTTCACAAAATTAAATTGTCATTATCATAACTACGAAACTAGAGGCAGTATAGATTTTCGTCTGCAAAATTGTAATAGTAGCATAAGTAGCAACTGTATTTCAAAAGGGGGTATTTTAATTTAATAAATTGAATAATGATATTAAACAGTGTTCCAATTTAGAAATGTTTATGAATACTCAAAATGCATAGTGATGTAATTTTAATAGACAAAAATGTAAAATTACAGTAAATGGATTCAAAAAAAAATGTGTAAACGAATAATTAACAAATCTTCAAAAAACAAAAAACGACAACAAAATACGGATCTGTACGGACCTGGCGTTGACGGATCCCTCAGAATTAGTTATGTGTCACTTGTCGATATGGGGAGTTTTGAAATATCACTAGATAATCACCTGTTATTCTACCGTGATGGATACTCCTGAAAAATACCGTAGGTTAGAGTATCTGTACATTTCACGTACAGGCATGTTGCTAGAATATCTTTACAAACGTTATTGACAATATATTTTTCCGTTTCAGGTTTGGTCATTTATCAAGTCATCTTTTTTTTACAGTAGCTGATGCTACAATGTTACACTATCCGTCTATATGTGTATAGTTATTTTATTTCATTCAGAGTTCATTTTATTAGATTTGTTATTAATATAATGAATAAACAGCCCTTCATCCATAGCCTAATTTAATTTCCTTTTAGCTAAGTTTTATAGAGAAATTGAAGGAGTTTATATAGATATGTACCAAGAAACAAGGAAAACACGTGATTTGCCAGTTTTGTATATTTCTTTCAGCACAGTGTTCTCTTTGTTTTGTTCTTTCACCTTATGTTGACAATTTCATGGATATACTTATGAACTTTTTTATCTAGGTAGTGGGTCGCTCGGCAGAGTATATTAGCAGTAAATTAACCTGAATTATAATGTCATAGTTATATAGAAATATTTTGGCCACTGAGTTTGCATAAAACTTTTCAAGAAATATGATGGACTTAGTAAGCGTCTTGACTGATGCTTCGTAATCTAATTGTAAATTTTGTTGCCTCGTGTATCTCCTATTTCCTATCATTTCAACTGCAGTCTATATGTCTACTAAATGATCACAATCTGAGTGAGAAAAAGCATATTTTTCCCTACTGGTTTACTTACCTTAATCAAAATTGTGAATATTTATCTGTGGGATCCTGAAAGCAAGTCAGAACATAACAAGTGATTTGTTCCTTCCCAAAATTAGACCTAAGTTATTTCTTATTATATTATTGGATTATCAGTTATGAAAACCCAACACACATTCTTCTATATTATGCACCAAATGCTAATATTACAGATTTTCTGTTCGTATATGTCATATGACTCGGTTGTGCCAAGAAACCCAATTTGACCTAATAGTCTGAGATCCCAAGGCTACCAGACAACTTATTTTCTGAAAGATAAAGTGTGGGGCATACAGTAGCATTTATATGTACCTGCGTACCTCCAAGTTGGGTAGAAGAAGCCTTGGTATCTAACTCTACATCAGTGGACATGCCCATATCATTGAGACGTAATTTGAAATGTATACTTTCAACTTGCAAGTTAGGTACAATAACTCTTGCTGGCCTGACGTTAAGAACAACATTAGAAATGAACAATTCACAATGGGTCTAGGGCATATATGAAATAGTGTATAAATCATAGTATGCATATTTAATATCAAATTGATGTGTACTCGTATAAAGTCATTCGTGAAGTTTAAAGGAACAATTTCGAGAATTGGTCATGTTTCTTTAAATTGAACTTACAAATTATAATAGAAACTTTTGTAGCAGATATTTGTATAATGTAAACAAGTAATATAAGTAAAATTGAGTTTGTTTTTACGTTGTTTTTTTCTATATCCCAATTGTTATTGCCACAATATACATTTTTTTTTATACTCCAACTACCACGAAGGCCTAAGGCCTAAGCACCCATTGGGTACCGTGGGGCTATAGGGGGATACATGGGAAAGGGGGGGACGCCACACGGACTCTGGCGAGGGAACACGTGTGCATGCAACATGCACACATTCTGGCTCCGCCTACGAGAACCGCCGGGTGGTACCTCCGCGTTCGACAGTCAGAGACCATCTACCACCTACGGACAATCACAACATCCATAGCCAAGAGAAAAATTTCTCCTGGGACGGGACTCGAACCCGCACAGCGCACGGCGACTGATCAGGAGACCGAAGAGTCTACTACTGCGGCCACCGCTGCTGCCTAAAACAAACACACAACATCCATGGCGAAGGCGAGATTCGAACTCGCGGCCCGGCCGGCCGGCTGATCAGTAGCACGACACTCTGACCCACGCGGCCAACCGAGGTCCCTTAACCTATGTCCTAAAAGTTTTGTCACAAAATATTTATCGGATTTTTTTAATTAAAAAAATTTATTCAAGCACTAACTAGTTATCAGAAATCACAACTCAATACTTAACTAAACCGTACTATCGAATTATGTGGAGTAGTCTATTCTGCTCTACCAGACGCAACTTTCTTCGACGTCTCTCATGAGGTCCTGGGCGGAATTCACATCAATTTCTCTCAGTTTTTCATAAATTCGCCGTCTTAACTGTTTTTCATCTTGTGCTTCCCAGCCTCCATGATAAAGGTTGGAGGATTATTGTTTTTGGGAACAACAGACAGGTTTGGGTATCTCTTGAGTAATGGCATGATGCTATACTTGAATCCATTTCAAGTGAGACCAGACACAACAACCAGCACGCGTCGCTGGCATGACGGTCGTAGACACAAGAACCGAGCAGGGTCGGACTCAAAACTATGATATTAAGGTGATATTTCAGAACTAAATATTTGAAAAAGAGACATCAGTAAATAATAACACAACACTACTGTCACAGAGTCAATAGAGGTGATTGAAAGTTAAGGGGGGCACAAAAGGTAATTATACATATGTGTTTGACAACATCGCTATTTTTCACTTTCACTAGAAGAGCTGTCATCATAGATGTTGATAATTAGCGGTTCAATATGCGTTTCAATTATGTTGTCTAGCTCCCACATTGCAACCTCCACTTTCTCCTGAAGATGCTTCACACATTTTAACCATTTTTCTGGTGTGATTCTCTGCAACGCAAGGTTGAACAGCTCTTTCATGTCGGAAAACTTGAATGTTGTGTTGTGTTCAGCAACAAAATTCTTTATATCTGTCCATATGAGCGCACAGTGGTAAGGAGGCAAACGAAGTACCATTTTATTGTGCGCTTTTGCCATCTCGTCCACTATATATTTATCATATTTTGCTCTGTGTTGTTTCACAAGATCTAGAAGTTGTAATTTCAACATAAACGTATCAAAAGGTATATTTTTTGCACGTAGCCAGTCCTGTATCTCTGATTTCTTAAAAGATGAATTTGGAATTTTTTCTAATTTCCGAGAATGATACGGAGCATTATCCAAGACCACCACAGAATTGTCTTTAAGACATGGTAAAATGCCTAAAAACCAGTTTTCGAATGCTTCACCATTCATCTCTTCGTGGTAGTCAGTCAATACCGATGCACGAGAAACTCCAACTTTATTCGCCACCCTCTGCACAACATCGTTGACGCTGAGCTCAGGTTTTTCCTCCGTTTCACATTTGTAAACATTTAAAATAATTTCTTTCACTTCGATGCTCAAATGGTTTTGTCTTGATCGTTTCCTGGGTGGACTCACTCAATGTAGTTCTCCCTTCATCAGCTGTGTCGGTAGAAGACATGGTCAAAAAACACCAGATATAACAGAACTTATAACAGCGATGCACTCGACGCCACGCCACGGCCTGATTACAACTCTGGTTTTTGTAGACATCAACGCGGCGCAACGGCGGGTTTTGTATTGCTACAGTCTAACTAGGTCTTAAAAAATGTTCGAAACTGCATGTTTTCCAAATTCATGGAGTTTTATATTGGAGCCACTTCAGGACATTGTACTTAACAAAAGCATCAATATGAGAGGCGGAAAGTTTAAAAAAAGAAAAATAAAAGCTACGAAATGAAACTATTAGTTGAAAAAGCAAGCTCTTCAAACTACAACTTCAAACCGTAAAATGCCTGAACTATAATGAGACCCTCTGCGGGAACATTGATCACGCTTCGAGTTTGCGATGTTGTGGTCTCACTTGGGATTTCACGTTTTCAGTCACGTGAATGTGAAAATGAAAAATATAACTCAGGATTAATGTCAACATTCGCAATGAAGAAGGTGAGAATGCACTACCTTGAAAAAAGTATCTGCCTCGGTTGTGCTGTGCCGAGTGCCCGAACCAACAAAGAGTCCGAAACTGCACGCATGCGCAGATCGCGCGCTAGCTCTATCTCTTACTCCACTATAGAGGATCTATAAAAGAATTTATCAATCCTGGCGGTCGTAATAGGGATAATGGAAAAGTGTTATCTAATAATTATTGCATTGTCAAAATTGCTGAAAATTATGCTCAAAGATTCCGTTATATACATACATAGTAAATATAACATGGCCACGCAAGACAACTATTGAAATATTATCTACTAGACTCTAGAAGAACATCCGTAGTGAAATTTTTCCCAAAATCATTGCACAACACTTGAAAAGTTGCCGCTTTGAGGTTCTAAATGACTCCGTCGGTACCCCGGGATAGACATGCAACTTGACAGTTGACCTTGTCATTATTGTCTCTTGGATTGCGGGGTTGCCACCTCATCGAACGATTTTGATACCTCTGCTATTTTGCTAGAATAAAAAATAGAGTTTTGAATAAAATATTGAGGAATACCAATGGAGATATATAAAATTTAAGGCGTATCAATGTTTGCCAAAAAGCTAAAGGTGATTCTGATAAATAATCCCATTGAACGTACACGAACAAACAAAATAAGACTGGTGGTGTTTATTTTTTATGCAAATTTGTATGTTTACCAATTGTTATCAAATTTTTAATCATTTATATCTCGTGTCCACTATCTCCACATGAAATTAAAACATTTATATTATAGATTTCCATATGTATAATTACTGTGTGTCTAGGTATTTTGGATTAACATCAAGAGTAGCATAGCATTGATATTTAAATTAATTTATATTACAGTAAAATACTGTGCATAATAATAAAAATAATTCATTTTACAAATAACTTTACTTTTTGAAGGTGAATATGGTAAAACAACTAAAAAAATATATTTTTGTCTAAATTTATTATAGATACCTACAAACATATAATTTTATAATACCTAACAATCAGTGGCGGCTCCTGGCAAATCTGAACTTACCTATTTTTTATATGTCAGTTCGATCCTACGCTCCTTCTTGGCAGCAAATTTGTCGATCACCTTCCCGTTGAAATGTTCCATGGTCGAAATAAATTCTTCTTCAATGGACAGCATCGACAACGCTGTAAGGCGATGCTGGGTCATAGTATTACGAAGAAAAGTCTTGATTCTTTTCAGTGTTGAGAAATTTCGCTCAGCCTCTGATGTTGACAGGAGTTGTAACAATAATTTCCAATAGCTTTTTTGTCTCTTTTAGTGTTTCCTTCAAACTATTTTGTACCAAAAATTTCAAAAGAGACAGAGTTCCATGTAAATCTCGGTAATCATTCGGTACATAAATAACATATAACTCTGTCTTTAAACGACTTTTTTCTAATTCGGGATAAGCCAAGCAGGTAGTTTCCAACTTGTCATCAGGAAACTTACCACAGTATTCTCCAAAGTGTTCGGGGAAAAAAGGGATGCGGCTACCAAATGATCTTTGAATTGAAATGTGTCATTTGCAGAATTCACTATGTTGTTGCATTCTTCTAATGCTTCACCTCGGTGATCGTGACTGCTATTATTAAGTCGTCTCCTTTTGTTGCCTTGGGGTTCAGTGCAAATACTTTTGGCTTCATTTATTTTGTCATCAATTTTGTTTCTCAAATCGACAATACATTTTTCACAATTATCGAAGCCGTTGTAACTTGCGCTGGCTCGGTTTTTCTCTTCTGCAACTGGTTGAACAAGATGTCGACGTGAGGCATGACATGATGAAAAAATGTCAACCAAAACACGAAAACAGAATCTATTATCGCCAAATACGAGGCTCTGTTAATCTGTTTTATTATTTCTTCATGGCAAACTTCAAGAATACAATCCAGTAGATCGTTTTGTATTTCTTTCGAAGTTCCTTTAAATATTGAAGCATTTTGTTAGTGTTCGCTTAAGGTTGTATCAAGCTCAGCAGAAAAATTAATCAGTCCATGAAATATTCCCGGGTTTTGGGAGCTCTCGGTTTCGTCGTGGCCCTGTAGCGCCAATTCAAGTGCTCCGCAAAATTTTATACAATCGATTATTTTTGATAGAACGTACCTGTTTTTTGTAACGGTATCATTATGCTGTTGTATATTTCTCTAATATGCTGAATCTAACTGAGCTCTGATGTTAACAGTCCCCAATAAAGCCAATTCCATCGAATTATGAAGATATATTTTAGAGTTTTCATGCTTTTTAATTTTTTCACTCAGGTGCACTAAATCTGTAACACCTACCTCCGTCCAAGCTTTGTCACCCCCGGAAAGTATGCAATGAAAGCAGAAAAGGGCATTTTTCCTGTTGCACCCACAAATCCAGCCATTTCTGGTGTAAATCTCCCTGCTGAAATGCCGCGTATAGCCCTTGCCCCGACTAACGCCCTGTGTTTCTATAAATATGTCCGGCAGCTCTATTTTTTCTTCAAATGTGTATTTCCTAAATCGTTTCACGCTGATAAGTCTGTAAACCATATCCATTGTCTTACACTACCTTTCTACACAGCCACAATCAGTCAGTGAGTCACTAGTCACTCAACGTAAGACCCAAAATACCTGAATAAAAAATTGTT